AGAGCAAGTTCCAGGACAGCCAAGACTACACAGAGAAACCTTGTCTTGAAAAACCTAAACCAAACAATGCCATGTCTCCGGTCACATGCCACCCTTACGCCCTCTTTTAATAACAGGGTCTACTGGCTAGGAAGCCAATCTGGATCAGGTGGCTTCCACTCACCTGGCCCTGCTTCCCCATAAAGGTGTCCTGCTCCACCCAGCTATGATGGTCTTCACTGTCCTGGTGGTAGAGTCCTGATTAGCGAGACTGTAGAGCCTCCAGGTACCTACCTCCCTCCCTCCCTGCCTGCCTGCCTGCCCCTTCCCAGCACTGGGACTGTACACACATCACCAGTCTTTCCCCATGACTCTGAGGGTTAATGGAGGTTCTCATAGTGTGTGGCCAGCACTTTACTAAGCAATTTCCCCATTTATTCATTCACTCATTCTGTTTTTCAGGTTGTTTTTTTTTTCCTGTTGTTTTTTGAGACAGGTTCTCTACTCTGTATGTGGAACAAGCTGGTATTGAACTCACAGAGCTCTAATGGGATTAACGGTGTGTGTTACCACACCCAGCTTTTTTTTTTTTTTGAGATGGTCTCCTGGACTCCAAGCTGTCCTAAGTCACTGTGGTCAAGAATAACCTTGAGTCTGGCTAGAGTGCTGGCATCACAGTCAAGCATCACCATGCTGTCTTTATGTATCAATGCAGCATCACCCCACCCCTGTGCTTTGCCTTACTAAAACTGGGGCAGTGAGACACCTCCCTTCAGATGCCACATGTGTGGTCCCCCAGGCAGGGCTGGACACTAAAGAAAGATCTTCTGATCATGTTGGTTAAAGGTGAGCTTTAGCAAGTGTACAATATCCCAGGCGATGTGCCTCAGTGCAGTATCAAAGCTGACTCAGACCAGAACTCCTTCTATTAATAGCAGTGCCCAAAACAGATTCTTAGTATTTCTCAACTGCCCTTACCGTCTACCTCCGCACGGCAATACCCTGTCCTCAGTGCCCCACCCTTTGAGACAAGGCATAGAGCCATGCTGGCCTGGAACTCCTGATTCTGCCTCCACCTCCAAAATGCATATGCCACAATTTAGGCTGTGCTAGGGGCCAAACAAAAGGCATTCTACCAAGTGAGCTCACTCTGATCCTTCAAGGATCCAAGCCAGACTTGCCGAACCTTCATTACCTCAAGGCTCAAGGTAGTAGAGTACTCAACTGGTATCCTCAGTACAACACGTTATCCTACTCATTTAAGAAAAAAAAAAAAAAAAAAGGCAGTGTCTTGTGTAGTCCAGGCTGGCCCTAGATTCATTATGGAACTTCAGAAAACCTCTAGCATCCACCTTCAGAGTGCACCGCCTCGCCTAGTCCTTACACTTTTCCTTTCAGTGCTGAGGGTCATAGGTGTGGGCGTGAGGCAAGTGCTCTCCCACTGAACTCGAGCCCCTTCATTCAGGTTGGCCTCTGGTTTTAGCTGTGAAATGATTTTTAAACCTTAAAGAATCTCAATAATCGATGAAAGTACAGATAAATCCTTAACACCTTCCAACCCATATAAAGTTAAAAAAATACCTTCATGTTTCTAGAAGAAAGTTATAAATTATGAAGAATGTCAACAACTGATAGTGTTAATGTCAGACACTAAACCCTTGAATACCTTTTATTTTTTTCAAGATGTATTCATTTTGTCTTGCCTGAATGTATATATGTGCATGTGTGCTCAGTACTCACAGAGGCAAGAAAAGGGTATCTATCACATCACCTACAACTGGAGCCCAGAACTATATAACAATGGCTGTGAACCATTGTGTGGGCGCTGGGAATCCAACCTGGGTCCTGTGAGTAACCAGTGCTCTTAACATCTGAGCCGTCTCTCTGGCTCCCCTTTTCACTGTTGTAAAGATTTATGTAATAAAGCTTCAAGTCCAGACAGGGTCCCTATGTAGTAGCCCTGGCTGGCCTGGAACTTGGAGACCCACCTGCTGCAGCCTCTGGAATGCTGGGACTGAAGGTGTCCGACATCACTGCCCAGCATTTTCAAAGTTCTGTCACTTTGTCTCAATACCACTTCTCAGAACTAGTTTTCTTTTTCTGTTTTCTGAGACAGGGTTTCTCTATGTAGCCTTGGCTGTTCTGAGTGTTGGGATTAAGTGTGAGCCATCACTGTCAGGCCTCAGAACTTATTTCTTAACCTATCCTATAAAGGTAGTGTCAATCTCAGTATCACTATAAATACTCAATGATAAGGCAGGGCATATTTGTGCATCCCTTTAATCCCTGCACTAAAGAGGCAGAGGCAGGTGGATCTCTGAGTTCGAGCCCAAACCTGTCTACAGATCATATTCCAGGACAGCCAAGGCTACACAGAGAAACCGTGTGTGTGTGTGTGTGTGTGTGTGTGTGTGTGTGTGTGTGTGTGTGTGTGTGTGTGTATCAAACCAACCAATGAATTGGTAAAAAATCAAAAAGCGATGTGCAAGTGCTCAAGATAGCAGATGTGAGGTGTTCACTGTCTGGCCATCCTGTGCAGGAGCAGCTGGAGGAGATGGAGGAGAGGCAGAGACAAATACGAAGTGGAGTGCAAGTCCAGCAACAGAAGAACAAAGAGATGGAGCAGCTGAGGACCAGCCTTGCTGAAGAGCTTTCTACATATAAGTCAGTTTTCTCTGCTTCCCAAGTCTCATCTACAATTGACTGAGGATGGTGGGGGGGCTCCAGGAATATTTTATTTAACGAAGGAAAACAAAATCACTTGGGGAAATGACTTTCAAATTGTGTCCACCCATGGACAATTAGAAAACAGCTCTCTCTTTTTAAAGGGCTATGCTCCCCAGGAGTCTGGAACAAGCTGATGCATCGACTCCTCAGGCAGATGCAGTGGAGGCACAACCCGAAGGTGATCTTTGTGGGTAGATGACAATGGCATTTGCTCATGATTACTGCTCTCCTAACAGTACTAACCAATGCCTTATTCTGGAGGGTCTTACTATGACCCTTGCTTGGGATCCTCTTACCTTAATCTGCATAGAGTTACCGGCATGTGCCTCTGTACCTGGTTACTTAATACCCTCCTATTATTATTTTTAATGTAGCCTCACTATGTAGCTGAAGATGGCATTGAATTCATGGCAGAACTCCTAGCCTTAGCCTCCCAAGTACTACCTCTAAATTAATCAAATAACAAGTAATTTAAGGATACTACATGTCTCAAAAATACCTAAGTTCAAGCAGAACTGATTTGGAAAACTGTTTTTTTAGACTGGGTTTCTCTGTGTAGCCTTGGCTGTCCTGGAACTTACTCTGTAGACCAGGCTGGTGTTGGACTCACAGAGACCCACCTGCCTCAGTCTCCTGAGTGCAGAGATTAAAGGCATGCGCCACCACTGCCAAGCCCAAAATTTAAATTTTTTTTCAGACAGTGTTTCTCTGTGTAACAGCCCTACCTGTCCTATCTCTTTCAAGATCAGGCTGGCCTTGAACTCACAGAAATCTGTCTGCCTCTGCCTCTCAAGTGCTGGGATTAAAGGCATGAAAAAGCTTTAATTTTTAATGGAACTTAAAATTACATTTAGCCATTTTGCCAGGCCTCACCCATGATTTTTCTTTGAGACAGGGTCTCACCATGTAGCTTTGGTTGGCTTTGCTATGTATGCCATGTTGGCCTTTAACTCACAGAGATCCACTTTCCTCTGTCTTCCAAGTATACACTACCATGATTGTCAAGATATATCATCTAGTGACCAGAGATGGCTCAGTAGTTAAGAGCGCTTGCTGAGGACACAGGTTTGGCTCCCAGAACTTACGTGGTACCTCACAATGGTCTATTAAAGCTCCAGTTCTAGAGGCGCTGATGCCCTCTTCTGGCCTTTGTAAGCACCAGGCACAGGCGTACACACAGGAAAAACACTCACTCACATAAAATTTAAAAATTCAAAGCAAACGAAATCCAGGCTCTAGATACATCTTTCCCAAACCCTGGCACTCAGTTTCCTTGGTACAGCACAAAAGACAACCTATTATCACACTAAGACTAACAACAGGCCAACAAGAATCACTAATTTAAAAACCACTGAAGACATTCAGAGCCCAAACTCCTTAGTCAACATATAAATAATCAACCACCGTGTCCATTCATTTCTGTGTCAAGAGTGGGTTTGTGTGAGGACAGTGCCCATGGAGCGCAGAAGTTAGAGGCAGTTACAAGCTGCCCCATGTGGGTGCTGGGAACCAAACTCATGTCCTCTGGAAGAGCTCTTAACTGCTAAACCATCTCTCCTGCCCCTATTTTTAATATATCAAAACCACAAAAGCTGTGGATTCAGTAGTTGGGAAGTTTTAGGGCCTAGTATCTTTCAACCAAATCACTCAAGTCTAGCTATTCAGAAAGCTGAGGCAGGAATATCACATGTTCTAGCCTGCCTGGTTAAACAGATCCTGCCTCAAAAAATAAGTTTATCAGAAGGGCTGGGAGAATATAGCTCAGTGGTGGGTTGCTCACTTGGCTCCTATGGGACCTTAATTTAATCCCAAGCATTGAAAACACATCACACAACACACTCTCTCACGGATATAACTCAGTAGTGGAATGCTTGTCCAGCATGCATGACAGCAAGTTCTATAACCAGGAAGGGAAAAACAAAAAGAAGCCTGTCAAGTTGTATAGAATACAGATGTCCACCCATTTCCTTTTCTTTCCTGGTTAAATATGGCTACAAACTGGTAAGTTATTACTTCAACTGATCCTTTCTGTAAGTTTCTAGATTTTTCTTCTATGGGATGAGGACAACGATCTGATAAACATCTTTGTATGGGCAGGAAAGGATAACCATCAACCCAAACAGATGATTAGAGCTGAGAACGCAGCTAACTGGTAGAGTACATATGTACCACGAACAGAGCCTTGGGTTCAAGCTCCAGCACTGCATAAACTGTAATCTAGCACCTGTGAGATGGAGACAAAAACATTCTAAGTTCAAGTCCATCCTTGGCCATAAAGAGTTCCAGGACAGCCTGGGCTAAAGGAGACTGTTTCAGAAAGGAAAGACTTTCTGGAGATGGCTCAATGCTTTAGAGCACTTGTTCTTGCAGAGGACCTAGGTTTGATTCCCAGAGCCCACAGGGAAGCTCACAACCATCCTTAATCCAGTTCTGGGGCATCTGACACTCTTTTCTGGCCTCCTTGGGTACCAAGCACATGCACATGCAGGCAAACACTCATATATATAAAGAACAATTTTATAAAGGACCACAGTTTAGTTTCCAATGCCTGTGACTCCAGCTCCAGGGGATATGGTCTTTTTTTCAGGCCTCCAAAGAGACAGACACACATGCACAAAATCTGAAAAACAAAACGGAGGGGTTGGAGAGATGGATCCATAGTTACCTACACTTGCTGTTCTCGCAGGACCTTTCTGGCCTTCATGGGCTCCTCCCACACAGACACAGACACAAAACAACAACAAACAAAACAGAACCTAAAAACTAAAAAGGTGGTGGCACACACCTTTAATCCCAGCACTCTGTGAGTTCGAGGCCAGCCTGGTCTACAGAGTGAGATCCAGGACATGCACCAAAGCTACAGAGAAACCCTGTCTCAAAAAACTAAGGAATACCAGGCGCTATAATACCTGTGTGAAGTTAAACTGGATGGAGTAAAATCATTCTCACAATATGCTGGTCTTGAACTTGATGTGATCCTGCCTCAGTGCTAAAACCTTAGCTATACACCACCATTTCTGCTTACTTTACTTCCTCACCCGTCACACAGGCTACTATTTATTCTGCTTTCATATTGTAGCCAGGTATGGTGGCACACAACTTTAATCTCAACACTCAGGAGGCCAACCTGTTCTAGGTAGTCAACTTCAGGCCAGGCAAGGCTACATGGTGAAATCAACCAAAACAAACCAGGCTGTAGAAGTCTTTCCTCAGTTTACCCTAAGAAAATCTTGGAAGCTCATTGTTATAAAAATTTCTAATGTATTATTTCAGATTGCAGAAAATGCAAACTTAACTGTATTTCTTTCAATCTTACAGGGATTGTTTAGAAATGTATGGCCGGATCTGTAACCCATAAACAACAAAGCAGTTATATCAAAGCATCACTAGGGATGGACTTTTCCCCAAACAGGAAAGAATGCCAGCATCTGGCAAGCAATTCACCCTGTGAAAATTACAAACATTGCTTATTTTGCCCACAAAGATTTTAGGGTTGGCTGGAAACAGGATACCAGTCAACTTTCATCTGGATTCTTTTCTGTAGGCTGTTAGTACTGATCTTGATGTACTGTGGATGGACAAATGAACCTGTTATCTTTCAGCAGAACACTGGGTTATGGAATATCACCACATTTTGCAGCATTGTGAAGGTTATTTATTGCTTTGTGCTGACCCAAACCAAGAACATTTAAGGAAAAAGTTGGGGTCAAAAGGCATCCAGTCTTTGCTCTATGGACCCACAGCTTCAATACCTTTGAGATATGGGTATTAGATTTCAAATGACTCCTTTCACAAAGCCTTTTTCCCTTTAACACCTGCAATCACATAATTTACTCTTAAATGTGTCAAAATAGCTATTTTGTTGTTTTTCTTTTTCTTTTCTCTCTCTTTTTTTTTGACATAGGGCCTTACTTATAGTAGCCCTGGCTGGCCTAGAGCTTATATTTTAGATAATGCTAGCTCTGAACTCACAGAAATCTACCTGCCTCTACACTGCTGAGATTCAAGACACGGCAGGCTTGTTTTTTGTTTTTTTTTTGAGACAAGGTCCCAAGTAATCTAGGCTGGGGTTTTTAACTTGTTACATAGGTCAGGATGACCTTGAACTTCTGATCTTGCCTCTACTTCCCAACCACTGGGACTACAGGTGTACGTCACCAAGTGTGACCCAAGACACACAACTCCACAACCCCCCAGGGTATCACCATGTAGTGACCTGGCTGTTTTAGAACACATCACATAGACAAGGAGGGCTTCGAACTCACTGAAATCCACCTGTATCTGCATCCCAAGTTCTGGGATTTATCATTACACCCAGCTTGATAGTTTTTACTATACACAAAAACAATGAAAACAGGAATACTTCAGATTTGGACCTGACAACTTCATTATTCAGACTTTCCAGAAATTAAATCGTTTTGGAGGTGAGAGTCATTTAGTCAGTTCATCAGCAAAGTCGGTCATTTTTATCTAGTTATCACACATGGTGATAAGGGCGCTCAGACTCTTAATTCCTACCCTTTAAAAGTAAGTAGGAGTCCCAGTGAAAAACACTGGACAGATACAAGCTCTCTGGAACACGGGTATGATCTCTTTCAAATGTAAACTGCCTTAAGTTGTCTATCACACTGCCTCTGACATCTTGGAAACTTGTGCGGCTCTCTAGGAAGACTTAAAAAAGATGTAATTTTACCAAGACTAGTTTGTGTACTGTTTGGTAATGTCTTCGCTTTCCCAGGCAGGAGTAAAGTTCTTCTTTTTAACGGTTCTGGATCTATTATGTTCTATTTCATCTCAATAGTCAAGAGCATGAAAAACAACTGTCACCCGAACAAACTCTTCTAGAAGCCGGAGACTGGTGTTTGGTGGATATTAAATAAAACCTACCAGCACAGGGCATCATAGAAAAGCAATTTATTCCTTTATAAGCACTTACACAGTTAGTCATGGAGAGTAACAGGCCCGATGCTGAGACAGGTCAACCAAAATGGAGATGGCATCAAACTATAGTGGTCAAGGACTAACCCCTAGAAAAGCAACTCTTATCAAGGATTAATTTAACTTTAAAAACAAAGACAAACTAGCAATTCACTCTTTCTCAACCTGACAGTTCACCAGTGGTATGACTGTCAGTTAAAAACATACACCTTACAACTTGGTGGTCCCAAGTTTAAAAAAAAAACAAAAACAAAAAACCACACACAACAAAAACCATTTCACAGAAAGGAAAAGAATAATATGGAAACAGCTCAAGAAATACACTAATGAGCAAAAATATAAGGGGAAGAAGGAACGTGTTGTCTTAACTAAAGAAACCAAAACTCTGGTTTATATAGGAAAATGTGCATCCTGGAAAGCCAGGTGTGAGGACTTTAAACTCTATGACTTGACTCTCCCCTAATTCCTGAATAAAAAACGACATCTTGCAATAGCTTTAGTCATGGCTCAGACACCTACTTCACTTGGCTCTATTCCTTATCCACTCTGGCCTCTTACTTGAGAATCTGAAAAACTTGGGGATATAGCTTAAGAAGAAAAATAAGCACACATAATATGCCCCATTTCTGAAGATGCTTTAGACCTGGTGTGTTACTAGAAAATTCCTGAAGAAAAATTTAAATATAAGTCTGTGGCTTTGTTGAATTAAGTCCCCCAGTTAAGATTAGAAAACCCCCATGGTTTGGGCTAATAGTATTGTTGGTGGCACCTATTGTAGCCGGAGAGCTGAACAAAGTCTGTGTCTCAAACCAGTGTTCAATCCTTCTAGGGTTCCGAGGACAACAAGGGGAGTCTAAAGCACAAGTGCAGACATGTCTAGGATCCTTGTCCTTCTGGATCCACGCTTCCTTCAGGGTCTTCATCATTATAAATGTTCTCTGCCTGCCAAAAGGAGAGAAAAGGGTATTTAGTATGAAGACAGTTATTTCTTGAAGTCTACAGTTTCCACAATATACTATGCCAAGGTGTCTGATAACATTTCAAACAGTTTTTTAAATATTCAATGCTATTGCTAAAAACAGCAACACACAGCGAACCAACAATATGAATCATAACTGGGTACAGATGTGTTCCAAGGAGCAGGCCACAGCTCCCGATATAGGACATTTTCACAAAGCATGGATGATCATTATTCCTGAACTGACCAGATATATTATTAGTAATAGCTAAAACATAAACCAGAGAGGTTTCTATGAGATACACAAAAAGTGATGCTTAGAGCACAGAATTTCTTTTAGGGATGATAAAAATGTTTTAAATTTCTTTGTGATGTATAACTCTGAGTATGAAAACATTCACTGAATAGTAAATTTAAATAAAACCATCCAAACCTTGTCCAAATTTCAATTTACAAGTATTTTAAAAAACCACTTTTATATAACATAAAAACCACCCCCACTAGTTGATGAAATGTATATAATAAGTCTAACACCAAATGTGTGGTAATTTTTCCTCTGGATGCTAACTGGGTAACTAAAGACCCCAGTAGTCACTTCAACACCAGACTTAACAGGCATCACCTCAGAGGATTGTTGTAAGCTGAAATCTGCAGACTTATCTTGCTACTTCTATCCAACATTGCTATCAAATTTGAGGGAGAAAATTTGAGAACTCCTTTGCCTGGTTTGAAAACTTGCCACGATTCCATAGAGTAAGAGACTTTGATGTCTATGTAATGTGCATATGTAATCACTTGCCTCAGTTTCCCCAAGAACTAGGATTAGGGTTACCACACCCCCCAGCTTATTACTGGGTTTTACTCACTCACTCACTCACTCACTCACTCACTCACTCACTCACTCACTCACTCACTCACTCACTCACCACTCTCAGGGACCAAATGGAGGTGATAAATACAGGAGGAAGCAGAGTATTCATCTTACTCCTCTCCTAGCAATCAATATGACCACCGGAATCTGGATACTCGAACTACCAATTTTTTTTTTTTTTTTTTTTTTTTGGTTTTTCGAGACAGGGTTTCTCTGTGTAGCTTTGCCCCTTTCCTGGAACTCACTTGGTAGACCAGGCTGGCCTCGAACTCACAGAGATCCGCCTGCCTCTGCCTCCCGAGTGCTGGGATTAAAGGCGTGCGCCACCACTGCCCGGCTCAAACTACCAATTTTTGGTTGTGCTAAGATCACAGGGCAAGCTACAAGCTTAATCTCCCTTCCCTAGTGGTTAACTTTCAGCACTTCTGTTGACTAGCCTAGCTACAAGGCTATCTAAGGGCCTTACAAAAAACCTTAGTAACAGACTCAAGTGTGGCCCAAAAGGGATCATTATCATAAACAAGACAATCTGAACTGGAAATCCCAATGATTTCTTAGCAGTTATATGCCAAAAAAACAGGTCAAAGTCTGAGCAAATACTACCTTTTTTGTTTGTTTGTTTGCTTGTTTGTTTTCGAGACAAGGGTTTGCTGTGTAGTTTTGGTGCCTGTCCTGGATCTCACTTTGCAGACCAGGCTGGCCTCAAACTCACAGAGATCCGCATGGCTCTGCCTCCCAAGTGCTGGGATTAAAGGTGTGCGCCACCACCACCCATGTACTACTTATTATATGGACATAACCTATGATGGAGGAAGTGACCCTGGAGGGGATCTAGCTCATCCTTCTACAATCTTTTTTTTTTTTTTTTTGGGGGGGGGGGGACATTTCCCCGCTTGAGACAAGGGTTTCACTGTGTAGCTCTGGCTGTCTTAGAACTCACTCTGTAGACCAGGCTGGCCTTGAACTCAGAGATCTGCCTGCCTTCTGCCTAGGGCAGCCAGGGCTGTTACAGAGAAACCCTGTTTCAAAACAAATAAAAACCCAATCTTTTAAAAACCAAGCTGTTTAGAGATTTATTCAATGATGAGGTTTGGCTCTGTGTTTTTGAGATCTTGTTTTGTTATTTTATCTATATCAAGAGCTACACCATCAGAAGTATAGATTTTCCATTAAAGACTGCTTAGCACTATGAAAAAAAAAAAAAAAAAAAAGAAAGAAAGAAACTTAGACCTGCTAAGTTAAAAAAAATCTTTTGAGATAGGGTTTCTCTGTATAACAGAGAGTGAGTTCCAGGACAGCCAGTACTACAGAAAAACTGTTCAAAAACAAAAAGAAAAGGCAGTTCAAAATAACACATGTAAATATGAGCCAGACAGAGCTACATGAGACCTTGACTCAAAATAAACAGCAACGCCCCCGCCAAGGAAAACTACCCTAAATAAATGGCTGAACACTCACCATCTGCCACACTTGCATGATATTGTCTTCTGATACAGAACAAATCACCCAAGGTTCATTGGGATTCCAGGAAAAATCAGATATCTTGGCAGTGTGACCACCATGAATAAACTGTAAGAGGGAAAAACAAAGACAGTAAACACAGACAACATTAAATCACAGCCCACTTTTTAAAGCACAGAAGACCCCAAAGTGCCTAAAGGTTTGTAACATACCAACAGCTCTGGTGGGCCATCTTCTGCATCTTCTGGGGACTGTTCTTCTCCAATTTTACTAACAAAAAAAAGAATTTTAAGTCAAAAAACATTACCCTGTGTAGTAGTTTGAATGTATTTGGCTCCCATAAGCTCATAGGCACTATTAGGAGGTGTGGCCTTAATCGAGTAAATATAGCCGTGTTAGAGGAAGTGTGTCACTGTGGAGGTGGGCTTTGAGGTCTCATATATGCTCAAGCCCATGCCCAGTGTCTCAATTCACTTCCTGTTGCATGTACAAGATGTAGAACTCTCAACTACCCCTCTAGCACCATGTCTACCTGCAAAGAGCCATGTCCCACCATGATGATAATGGACTGAATTTCTGGACTTTAATCCACCAAATTAAATGTTTTCTTTTATAAGAGTTGCCATGGTCATGGTGTCTCTTCACAGCAACAGAAACCCTAATTAAGACAGCCTGAGCACCCATCTTTAAAAAATGTAAAGATAGTAACTGTGCCTGGCTTGGCACTCTGGAGCAAAGAAAGGTGAATTTCTGAGTCTGAGGTCAGATTATTCTACAGAATAAGTTCTAGGACAACCAGGGCTATAAAGGAAACCCTGTCTCCCCAAAACAAAACAACAACAACAACAACAAAACATACTTCATGGACAAGGTAATTAACACAAAACTCACCTTAAATCCCAGACATTCAGCCTACGATCAGTACCACTAGAAGCCAAAATAGTCTCATTGTGAGGTGACCACTGAACCTATATCCAAGAGTAAAGAAAATGCAATGAATTAGAAAATATATCTTACAAAACTCTGTAAATAAAAAGCAATGAAGCCGGGTGTTGGTGGCACATACCTTTAATCCCAACACTCAGGAGGCAGAACTATAGGCACAAGCCAGCACAAAACCTTGTTTTCCTCCCCTGCCCCCAAATTATTCATGCCTAATTCTGGCTTTCAGTCAAATGAAGTTCAATTCTGACACAGAAACTAAAATATTGACAGAAATCTATGATTATTTTCTCAACTGCTTATGTGCCACACAACACACAACAGGCATAGAGTTCAAGCCTCAGCTACTTGTACTCCCCAAAGATTCCTACAATTATTAGATAAAAGATAACTACATACACAAAAGAGAAGAAAAGGGAAAAGGCAGGGAGCATTGGTTTCTCTTACTTGGAATATTTCATCCTTATGTGATTCAAAGGAATGCAACTTGAGTTTCAGATTTCTCAGATCCCACAAGGCAACAGTCTATGTACAAAAAGATAAAAGAAATCAAGATAAACATATCAAGTAAGAAAAGCCAGCCCAGGGCTGGAGAGAT